CCAACAACTGACGCAAGGTGAGGATGTGGTCAATGCAGCCACGACCTCGACGAAACCCGGCTTGCTCTTCACGAATCTGGCTTTCACGAGTGCCAGTCAGTCTGTGAAGGAGGACAGAGGCAAGCAATTTGGAGGCGATGGAGATCAGACTGATTCCTCTATGGCTGCCGCATTCCGATCGTGAGCCTCCTTTGAAAATTGGGACTATGACGGAGCGGTTCCAGTCGGTTGAGACAGTTTCCTGCTCCCGCAGTCTGACTAGTAACCCGTGTAAATCATCCACAAGAGTAGGTCCCCGAATTTGAAGAGGGCTGGAGGAAGATCATCAGGCCCCGCGGCTTTATTTAACTTCAACAGTTCGATCTCACGTTCGACTTCTGAGCGAGAGGGTGGATCCAAAGGGACAGCCCATGGAGGAGGACGATCAGTGGCCGGCGAGAAATCTAACAATTCCGACCGATTAAATTGCCTTTCAAAGTGCTCAGCCCAACGCTCTAAGCGTTTTGATAAGTTGTGGATAGGCTGTCCACTCTCGTCACGTATAGTTTCACTAACACCAGGTCTCCTGCTGCCCGATTCCCGTATCAGACGGAATAACTTACGATGGTTACCAACGGCAGCGGCCATTTCCATCTCTGATGCACGATGAGACCACCAGGTTTCGCGGTCTCTCTTCAGGCTAGCACGGAGTTTTGCCTGGAGCTCTTTGCGAGTTTCATTGTGTTCGCTTCTAGCCGGAATATGCCGGCGAGCATCGATAAGTTCCAGAGACTGTGAAGAGACCCAATGTCCGTGTTGGCGATTAGACATACCACATGAGGATTCTCCTGCTGCTAGTAAGGTCTGGTGAATATGAGACTAGTGACCTTCAATTGCATCCAGTGAGCGCTTATCCAACTCGCATGACAGCGTACTTTGATAGGCATTCAGAACAGCTGGCTTCGCCAGTTGGCTGGTGTCAATGCGCTCACAACGTCGTCGTGGGTGTCCGCCAAAACGCATCCGCAGGTCAGCACATACAAGTGCATGGTCGGTGTCCACACCTGTGCTCCAAATCGAGCGACAATTCTGGACGCAGCCTCTTCATCGGTAACTTATCGCAATGTGATCGATTTGCGTCCATAGCTAGTTCGAGGCAGGTGGGCGCCAAGTCACCCTCCGGCGGGTGCTGTGTCGGAAATTAGTGCTCGCAAGAAATAAGCGAGCATCCTCACACAAATGAAGTAACCGCTCACCGTTATCATTACGGGAGCCTACACCATGTTGGCCGCCCAGATGCAGCTCATCAGTGGATAATTTTCCAACTTGAGCGTTCAGATCCCCGGCCAGCACTACAGTGTCCGAGGTTCTTCTGTGGCTAAGGAGCTCGTTCAGTTGACGATAGAAGTCGTCTTTTACCGAGTCATCGCTACAGTTTGTCGGTGCATAGGCAGCGATAACGAATAGACACCTGTTAGTCCCACGCGACTTCGAAGCTTTGAACGAGCCAGCCAATCGGGACCGCACACATCCGGCTACTGATTGGAATCCAATCAACCAGAGTAGCTTCAGCCCGGGGACTCAGGGCAATACCAACACCGGTTTGGCCGGTGCTCGAGGCTGCATCGTCACCGGATAGGCGCAATGAGAAAATGCTACTGGTGTCACCTGAAGGGGGATCGCAGAGTGAGCACAGAGCTCGAGTCTTGTAGGCGGATCTCCGATAAGCAGCAGATATCGATCGAGAGGGTCTCTAATGTTCGGGCATGTGCTGCCTGTTGACCGATCTGAAGCAATGTGCGAACATTGAGGCAGTGCTATTACCAGGCGACTAGCGATTGGCCACGAACTTTCAAGTGATGCGATACAGGGCTTCGTCATTGCCTTGTGTGATCTCTGAGACCGATACTGTCCAGATGGCCTAGGAAAAAGTCAGGGCTTACCTCGTTCATATTTGTGCACCACACATCCTAATGGGGAAAGAAATCGAGAGCGCAGCCACTATGAACATATTTCTTGGGGAAGGGCGTACAGTAGAAGCGATGCAGATGCTGGCGAACGCATCGATAAGCTCAGTCGACCAGCCCGTTTGACAGGTATAAGGTGCCTTAGAATATGTGCAAGTTAGATCTTTTGTCGGTTGGGTTGCAGTATGAACAGAGCTTAGCTGACACTGTCCCGACACTCCCCAAGCAGTTCTTCGCTTAGATCAAGTGACGGCTGTGGTGCAACCGCGTCTATTCCAGCGTTGCTTCGAGTGGATGGAACCCATGCACAAAGCGACCATGGCAAGGCGTGGGTGCTTGATGAGCAGTGCTCAAGTGTCTTTGTCCTGAAACAAATATGCTGCGCATAGTACTGATCACAAGAGTCCATGTAGGCTCTCGTCTGGAAGAAATTAGTGCGGCGGAGACTTAAGTTCTTGAATTGTTGATGGAGTTTATTCCAACGCGAGCTACCGGATCTGAAGCTGTTGCTCCTAGACTGCTAAACGAATTGGTAGTAGAACGCAGTGGACTTCTGGCTTGTGTACTTCTGAACGCACTCGACAGCTGCGCCTTGCCTACTGAATGCAGAGGAGCTGTGATCCGCCCTATTGTCGTAAAGTGTGATGACAAAAACCTAACGGTTAATTATAGGCCTGTCAGCTTGAACAGCATAGCGGTTAAAATATTTGAATATTTGGTAAGAAAATCAGTGGAAAACCATGTGGATAAATTTAAATTGCACAGTTTGGCACAAAATGGACCTCACAAAGGATTTTCGTGTTTAACGAATGTATGGGCAGCAAGTGTGAGCTGGGGTGAAGTTTGTTGACAGTGGATACGCTGTGGGCGTGTTGTTTGTTGAATACGCTAAGACCTTTGACACTGTCCACCGCTGGCTGCTCCATTAAAGTTGAGGTCTCATGAAATACCTGGCCACACATTTCATTGAATGGCAGCTTGGTTGGATGAACGGGGATAGTGCGTCGTTCGCTACGACAAGCTCATCTCAGCGGCGTTCTCCGGGACCCTGACTAGGGGTTGCCGTTGCCGCAGTCTACGTAAATACCTTCCCTAGGGAGCTTGACGTACCATCGCCCATTAGCTGATGAGCTAAATCTTTGGAATAATGTGGATGTTCGTGAGCGACCCAAGACCCTTTAACGTGCTTTGAATAGAATCTGAGGATGGTCTATCGGGTAGTTGCCACTTCTAAACCGGGTACTTTTAATGCTGCGATGCAAAGCTGACACCTGTGCAAGCTGTGTGAACGATGAGCGAGATATTCCTCACGTGACTTCTCTGCTTGACCTAGGTGTCGTCCATTGATAACTCTGGAGAGAAATATAAGAAATCGGCTAGCAAATGGTTCCAGTTGTTGTGTTTTGACCGAGGTTCCTTCGGGACCATAACAGCTAAAATGCTTATTAAACTCACCTCAGCATTCATGCGACCCAATCTAGAATATTCCGTCTTATGCGACTCACTCAAAAGGGGAAAGATTGGGAGACGTAGACCCTAACGTAATCCGTTGAGTACAGCGCCCATCTATCCATCTCAAAGTTTATTGGCTTGTCTCATGCTCATGACACCCTCCAAGCCAATGACATTTTGGCACACTCATGTAGTATGTCTAATCGCCAACACGGACATTGGGTCTCTTCACAGTCTCTGGAACTGATCGATGCTCGCCGGCATATTCCGACTGGAAGCGAACACAATGAAACTCGCAAAGAGCTACGGGAAAAAACTCCGTGCTAGCCTGAAGAGAGACCGCGAAACCTGGTGGTCTCATCGTGCATCAGAGATGGAAATGGCCGCTGCCCTTGGTAACCATCGTAAGTTATTCCGCCTGATACAGGAATCGGGCACCAGAAGACCTGGTGTTAGTGAAACTATACGTGACGAGAGTGGACAGCCTATCCACAACTTATCAAAACGTTTGGAGCGTTGGGGTGAGCACAATGAAAGACAATTTAATCGGCCGGAATTGTTAAATTTCTCGCCGGCCAGTGATCGCCTCGCTCCCTGGGCTGTCCCTTTGGATCCACCCTCTCGCTCAGAAGTCGAACGTGAGATCGAACTGTTGAAGTTAAATAAAGCCGCGGGACCTGATGATCTGTCATTTGGTAGGACTTTTAAGCCAAGGAAATCTTATCCTACGTACCTAGTTTGATCTTCCCGGAGGAAAATGCTCCCTCTCAACATGTTTCCATTTTTGTTTTGTATCAAGTGTTTTGGCGTTGTAGTCGGCAGGTTCGAAATTCATAGAAGGCCATAAGAGGCTTGAAAATGTAAACCAATGAAATCTACTCCCGTGGCGCAGCTGTATGCTATCGGGCGCGTCCCCAGGTTACGGATTGGGGAATGCCTTCCTTGTGGAGGTAACTGCGAATAAGTCTCGTTTGCCTTGCAGGCGAGATGAATAAGCAGTCGCGGACAATCAGCGGCAGCGTCTCAGAGCTTGGGGAGTTCTGGGCTGGTCACCTGGTTCTCCATCAAATATCACAAGAGCTCGTACGGCGCTGTGTCAAAGCCAATATGACCGGCTATAGGGTCACTGACCACTCACTCCTGTAGCTGGGGGTGAGTATCAAACGGAGAGCGGATGAACAACCTCGTTGGCTAACGGCTTCTCTGTGGACTGCTACTGAACACGAAGAAGGCGGAGTCACTCGGGTGTCGACGGTCTTCGTTAATCGCCCCGCTGCCTTGTGGGTTAGGTCTTAAGACCAAAGGTTAGAGGTGGGGTCCCTTAAGTCAACCCTCTTCTTCGGCCTGGGCAACCGGGAAGATCTCTGTCCACAAAACAACCTTCCAAACTTTCCAAATTCTTTCACTGACCACCTGTTTTTCCCCACTTTTTGTTGTTGTTAACTATGTGTTGTGGAACAACCAATTGTACATTGGTCAACTGTTGAATAGTAATACAATATTGGAATCTAGTAAACCGCATCAAATAGGTTGCACAGTTGAGTAAACAGTGTCCAGAATGGAAAAGTAAAAAAGTGATTGTGAAAGAACTAAGGAACTCACAACCAGGTGAATTCCAGAGTTGACCACCGGCAGCCAGAGTGGTGGAAGGCGACTGTGGCACTGGGTGACTCGAAGAGGCAGTTGAGTTCCCATTTGAACGAGATTGCGCAGGTAACTTAGGCACAGCAGAACCAATAAGCACATTGCACTCCTTGATGACAAATTCTTTGCCAAGTAAAGACGATGCCACCTCCGGATCTTCAAATGTTACGAAGGCAAACGAACGAAATGGCTTCGGAATAAACACGTCTATCACCTGGAAAGAGATAAATTGGCCGCCGATGTAACGGATAAGAAAGTGGACATGCAAGATGTGCCGATATCGAAAGATAATTAAGGTGTGGTTGTGCTTTTTGGAAATACTTGTTGCTGTGGCCACAAAACCGCCACAGTGTTTAGGGACCAAAACTGACTAGCCTTGCAACCTACGTAGCCTTAGAATAAACCACCTAATTGACAATAGTTCAGACAGTATACATACAGGGCTGAATTCGCATTGTCAGAACGTTGAAGCGAGTACAGAATAAAGATTATCGTTTCCGAATGAAGATGTTGCCCCACAATTGCTAAAAGCAATTAGCATGATATAGGCAAGCTTGAAATCGGTGGACAGAAATAATTATTGTCTCAAGATCAACTCTGGTGAGCAAATCCAAGTCAGAATATTGCAGAAGGGCAATAATAATAAACAGGTGGACGAGAGAAACCGTCACCCTAGAGTCAGCAGGCGTTATCTCGGGTGTATTGTTCGCTGGTGTGGAGGAAAAGGCTGCAAGGAGATGAGTTACTTAGCAAAAACATTGTGCAACCGCTCGTCATGGCGCCCGTATACGAATCGCCAACGAAGGAGAGGTATGTATATATTACCGGCCAAATCGACTTGTTATGTCAATCATAATGTAAAGGTGGTATTAAATGCTCGAAAATGAAACAACCGAACAAATATCAAGAGTTAAAAAAAACAGAACAGAAAAAACGGCAGGTGACTGCCATACATACACATCAGGTGCGCTCAACCACAGTCTACTGAGTAAGGCGCAATAGGATTCCTGTGATCCAAGCTGAGAAAGCGAGTGACGACATTCCAGAGACTGAAAGCGATTCAAACAAGTAAACGTGGCTGATGAAAGACATCTCGCACGCCCATAGGTGCCAGCGCCATAGCAGTGTTATAAAGCGCTACTTGGATTACGTAGAGACAAGGGCGTAAAATGTCTACCTGACACAATGATTGCAGAAGACAACACAATGCGCCTAGTTGTGTGTGCGAACCTAAGATGCACGAACGCAAACTTTACAACTGATTAAAGCGCTGGTGGATGTAGACCCTGCCTCTGGATGATAAAATACCTGAAAAGTAAAAATAAAGTAACTTCAAACTTAAGACCAACTTTAGACGTCAGACAGTGATGTCTGAAAGCAGATGCACCATGAAACAAAGTAGCCACGCGCACTGGGTAGAGGATGAAGTCACACGCAAACATGGACGGTTCGGTTCAACTTTGCGAATGTTAACTAAGACACAGGTGCCTAGGTGTAGTGCAACCAGTTGTCATTACAACTGCAAGTAAAATGGAGACAATAGCAACATAGAAAGTACGATACTGAAAACTGAAGATAGGGAGCTAGAAGACACACATGTGTTGCTCCACCGCTATAACATCGGGGACGCATGCGGAATAGCGGTACTAAGTATCGCGCACTCTCAACGCAGTTAGGATGTGCGACGTAAGATAATAAGGGTGCGGTGCACTCTCGAAGTCTGCAGACCGCAAGATGGGCGTCTAGGAATGTCTTTAATTCCGGCACTTATCTCATCTGGACTGTTGTTTCCGGCAAGATGTTCTAATATCATCACTCATCACTCGAAGCATAAAGTGAACTATCCGCTTCACGTCCGGCATAACAAGCTTGTACCGGTGCCCGTGAGTGATGTTTGTTGCAGGCACATACAGAAGAGGCTTCAACATAGGAAAGTCACCCAGATGTAATATCCGGTGAGCCATTATGAGGTTCACTCAAGACCGACAGTCAACTACATCGATCTTCATGCTACACCTCGTAACCAAGAGATGAACATAGTAGCGAACGGATGAAGACGTTCCAGCCTTTGTACCTAGCCATAGGTGATTGGACAATAGACGAGTGAGCCGTACTCGAGCATTGTTCTTATGATGGAAGAGAAGAGACGAGTGGCAATCCTTACAGACTAAGTGCAGAAGCTGCGTTTTAGCGCCCACCGCATGCGCCATCCGTTTCAATATGGTATGTGCATGTTGTCCATGGGCTTTAAATCGTAGGGTCAGAGTAAGCCTAGATCTTTCACGGAAGGTGTAAAATGTAGCGGTTGGTCGGGCAGAGTGGTCGCACGCCTATCACCGCTCTTTCTCAAGCTAATAAATCACAATTTGATTGCCACCGGAAATGCGACATATACAGACCACATGGACAGGCGGCCGAAGTCATGCTGAAGTAGGTCGCAAAAGTTGGAACCACCGATTATTCACCAAGTTTTCAGGTCGTCTGCAAACAAAGCACAAGGCGACAGAAGTTGAGATAGTTCGTTGATATGGACTAAGAACAAACTGGTCCCCAGGGCTGTGCCTTGGGGTACTTCGTTAGTAGAGGGATACCAATCGACTAGATGATTATCCACTAGCATCCGCCACTTCCACCCAATAAGGAAGTCCCTGACCCAGTACTGCAGTGAGTCACCAACACCGCACACCTTCAAATTGTGCTTGAGAAATTCGTAGTTCAGCTTGTCGAACACATTACTGCAATCAAACTGGATCGCGGTTTTCTGCTTGCAGTCATTCGTGCAGCGTCACCAGCAAGCTGCTGATGCATGAGTGGTCTTGCTTGAAACAGTGCCGTTCTGACGTCAGATCTTTCGATCCCAGCGGCTGAAGTAGCCCTTTCTTCATGATTTTCTCGAGACCAAAAAGAGGTTCACAAATTGGTCAAGAATAGTTCACTTTGCTTGAGTCAACGCCCTTCGGAATCGACTTCACTACCGAGCCTTTCTAGTATAGCGACTGGAAATGCACTATGGGAGAACGACCTGTTGAACAGATTAATCATGGAAGCCGAGATGATAGCCGATAGGGAGGTGAGAATCAATGGGTGGATTCCGTCTAAAAGGCTTTGAGCCGTCGAAACTTGCGAGTGGATTGAGTATACCTTCTACACCGAAATCCAAGCTGTCGAGTTCGTTTTGGGTTGCACAAATCAAACTCGGCACAGACGCACGGATGATTACAAATAAGGATAGAAGTGCGTCACCATGCTAGACGCGCGCTCAGTGCTCGCAACTAGGGGCTATCAGTAAGAGTTCCCTAACACTGTAATGTAATCAGCTTGTCTCAGCCGCCACTTTACATATGCAAAGATCTCCGTAGGGGGCGTCTTCGCTGCTGCTGCTGCTGTCGACGCTTCTGTTTTTGCGCTGTTACATAGATTTCGCTGTCCTTTGTACACCACGTACTCATCGGTAGAACCAGAACGGAGAAATCTGCTCCACAGTCCGCGTCGACGTCAAGCCAAGTGGCCACGCTCACAGTCGATTTGATGTGGCTTCACTGTCCCAGAGTTTAGATACTTGGGGGTATGAATAAAGCGCACAGTGAGTTTAAACCCACTTTTATGAGAGACCAACAGGTTTCAACAGAGAAATACCGTGGCAGTGTACAGCCCATTTGACTAGTGGCTCGAGTGAGACCAACGAAGACATTTTCCAGTAGGTATAAGATGGTTTCTGTTGACACGAGAATGACAGCGGCTGCTCTAGCCTAGCTATGAACACTGTGGCAACTCGCTGCCAGGAGCTCTAGGGCCTAAGCATCATGCACGATCTGCTAGTATGCCTAAGCACGACGCAGCCGAATGCGGTGTAATGTGTCGGCTGACAGACGTGGTGCCGCGCCAGTTTTCAATATCATAGTAAACTTTGCCCCACTTCACAATGTCCAGGGAGGAAGTAAACCTCAAGTCGTAGTAATGGAGGTAGGTATAAATTCACCACATCCATATCCAGTCACCCTACCATGCCATTTGCATCCTTTCGGAAATCTTCAGCAGTGCGCAATACGGGTCCGAGCCATACAGCGGTCAGATGGAATGGGCACTGCTGACGATTCCCGAAAGGATGCAAATGGCACAGAATGCCTTCCCTGGCGCGTGATGACTGTGTGTATAAATGCGATTAATGTTCACTCATATAATACAAATCCCCCTACCGCTACTTTGTATTCGAAATAAATTAAATTCACTCATGAACAAGAAACGCGGATGATTTCTGTGATTTCGGACATGCGGCAACCAGCCTAAACCGCAAATCAGCGGGCTAATATCAGTTACATAAGAGTCAGCACATATGTAGTGTCCGTCCGGTTCGTGAGTCCAGGTGTTTCCGTATCCGGGACGCAGAGTAGATTGAAATAGATCTGATGAGGTAGGTGGCCAGAAGTCAAACCCAAACTAACTATACTGTAGGCAAATAAATCCATAGCGTATAGGGAAATCATGTTCCTTTATAAGTCTTTCAAGTTGGTCCATAACGTTTTCACGTTGAAACCAGTGCCAAGATGCTACGGTCCATTGAGGGAACAAACCCAAATAAAACAATATAACCCCACTCTGTGTGCTCATCTGTCACAACATCTGCTTAGTTGACATTGGTCACTCAACGAACAGCACGTAATTTTTAGAAGTGGTTGCGCTCGTTGGATTCAAGCTGAAAGCGTTATGGACCAGCTTGAAAGATCTAAGGAGGAACATGATTTCCTTAAGAAGAAATTTTAAAGCGCTATGCATTCAATTCGGGGAGAAAAGATATAGCAAGAACGAATGCAGACGAATAACGTGTCGGGTACCTGCTGGCAAGTCGACACCAGAGGGTGGCCGGTTAGGCTGGAACGACCAAGTAGAAGAGAAAGCGTCTGTATTCAAGGTCAGAGCGGAATAAACAAATCAACAAAAATAGTTTGGGTAGTAGAGAACTAGAATCCAAGAGATGAGGGCAAGCGTGTGTACTAGCCGATAAAAAGTACGGCGGCTGATCCTGAAGAAGCCATACAAAAAGGGAACAAACGGTAAATAAAATTAGGTTTTTGGCAGGTTTTCCACCCTTTTCTCTATGTTACTTGACCATGTCGCATGATATTGGAGAATAACACAACCCGCTGGCATGCGGAGCACATGACAGACGTAACAGAGGCGACTCGAACACATCAACATCGACAAAGCACTAGATGA